GCTCACTATGTAGCCCAGGCAGGTCTCGAACTCACAGCAATCCTCCTGCCTCAGCCTCCCAAATGCTGGGATTACAGACATGCGCCACCATGCCCGGCTATACATTTTAAAGCTTTTCTAAAAATATGTATATTTTCCTTTTATATATAAGACAAACAAAAGACTGTAAGACAGAGTGAAGTAAACAACCCACTAGGTACCTTGGGATCAAAGATTGGCATGGTTTTAATTTTACTTCATATATATCAGACTTGGAACTAAGACAGAAACCTAGAAATGCCAACATGCACAGAAAAAACAAAACTAAAATCAACCTGCTTACTGCAGCCAGGAGAAAAGGAAAAAGTCAAAGAAGCAAGAGAGAAAAATTTTAAATAATTGTTCTATGCCAGCAAACCGTCATTGCCAAAACAAACAAGATGAATAACATGCCTCCTCATACACATACTAATGCCTGTGAAGACCAAGCGGAGAGCCTAGACTTCTACTCACACACAGCAGCAGCAAAGTGCTCTCTCTGACCCTGTGTGACTTACATCAGCAGAAGCCCAAAGGAGACCTCAGATTTTTCCCAGGCTCTGCCATGGTACCAATATGGAGACTGGATGAAGATCTTGAAGTCCATTTCTCAAAATGGAAATAATGTCTCAATATTTTTCTGTGCTCACAAAGGAAATGTCAGTCTAGAAGTATCTGCCCATGGGGAAATGAGGAGTATCTCAGATAAAATTTAACTAGAAGAATTACCAGTAGGCCCTCTATAGAAAAATAGTTTGGAAGTTCTCTAGAGTGAACAGGAAGGAAGTATAAAAAAGAAACCATGATAAGTCAAAAAGGAAGAACAAATATGGTTATAGTAGGTTTTAATTCTCGTCCTTAATTCTCTAAATTTGATGACTGAAGATAACCTAATCCTGTGGGTTTTAATGTTTACAGATGAAATCATTTAAGGCAATTATGTTACAAGGGAGACAAACCAAGTAACATGTTGGAGGACATACAATATCTAAACATCATTCAAATTGATAAAATGTCAGTGCCAGTGTAGTGCTGAGTTATGTACAGTGTAACACCCGAAACAACCCCTGAAAAATCTATACTTTAGAAATACACTTGCAGTCATTACAGATACATCAAAAATGTTTTGTAGACATATACAGATTATTCTGATCCATGTAAAGAAAGACAAATGGACTGTAATAGCTAAAACAACTTTGAAAATAAAAAATAAAGTGTAAAGAATAAATCTATCTTATTTCAAAACATATTATATAGCTAGTAATCAAAACTGGGTGGCACTGCAGAGGAGTAAATCCATAAACAAGCAAAGCAGAACATAAACCTACATATAGACATATATAAATGTGCCCAAATGCTTCTTAACAAAGATGAACTGAGAAAAGATGGATATTCCTAAGCACAAACAAGACATCAACCTAAGGTTCTAACTATATGCAAAAAATGGAATCAAATGCATCATGAACATAAACATTGCATTAGTCAATTTTCTATCCCTGGGACAAAACACCCAGTATCCACACCTTAAAATAAGAGGTTTATTTGGTTGACAGTTTCCAGTAAATTCAGTCCGGGGCCTGGCAGAGCATTGCTGGTGGAAGAAGAAAAGCAGCCACGTAGAGAAAGAGGAGGAACCTGGAGCAAAAATATACCTTTCCAAGTCGCATTCGCAGTGACCTTCTTGTCCTAGCTAGGTTTTGTCTCCGAATACATAAAACACTTAGGGGACATTTCAGATCTAACACCATCCACCCCTGACCCCCAGAGACCCATATCCCTCTCAGTATGCAGAATGTATTTAGTCCACTTCTAAGAGTCAACAAAGTCTCAGTAGTTCCAACACTCTTCAGAAGTCCAGTCCAAAATCTCCTCTAAGACTCAAGCCAAACTCTTAGATATGAGACACAAAATTCAAAAAGAAATTTAAGTATTTTCAACAAATATTGGCACAGAGTAAACATTCCCATTCTAAAAGCGGAGAATACGTGAATAGGACCAAAGAAAAGCATAAATTCAGCAAGGCAAATACTAAATCTAGTATTTATGGGTCCAGCACTCGGGACAGGTTGTGGTGAGATGTGAATTCCAAAGGATGTGGCAGCCCTGCCCCAGTGGTTTAATGGCTGCAACCAACACAGCCTCTTCACGCGGGCCGGCTCTTTCTGGCCGGTTTTCCACAGCGAACCGTGCACTAAAATGGTCTAAATTCTGCGGTCTCCACAGCACCTTTGGCCTTCTTCTCACAATCACGTACATCACCCTCTCAGGGACTCATTGTCTAGCCTCCCAGGCCTCTTTCTAAAATCTGGTTGAATCAGTTCCCTGCAGGTTCAGTCCATAGTCAGTGGGCTCCACGCGGAAGCGTCATGACGGACGAGCTAGGGCAGGCCAACAGCTCAGCCCATGGCAGCCAGAAAGCAGAGGGAGGGCAGAGCTGGCCACGAGAACAAGCCCTTCCAGTCAGCCCCAGGGACTTGCCCCTTCCAGTCAGGCCTCACCACGGAATGTGTGAGACTACAGTCAGATGTTTTACATGCAAATCACAGAAAATGTAAAACTATAAAATGCTTATGAAAACAAAATAAAATATTTGAGATTTAGGAATAGACAAGAATTCTTAATTTTAATAACAAAAGCAAAAACAAAAGAAAAATCTAGATAATAGGATTTTATTAAATTTAAAATTTTTGTTCTAGAAACATGAAAAATGAAGACAACCTACAGAATGAGAAAAAAATGCAAACTGTCTATTCAAAAATGCTACAATTGGGGCTGGGGATTTAGCTCAGTGGCACCGCACCTGTCTCACAAAAATGCTACAATCTAGAATATTTAAATATCTCATATTTTATAAACTATAGGTGGCAATATAAGATTGGTATAGCCATTCTGCAAATAGCTAGACGGTTTCTTAAAGAAATAAAAAAATAAAGCAAACTAATCATCCAGCTAAATATGACTTAGAAACTAAACTCCTATGTATTTATCACAGACAAATGAAAAATTATATTCAATGAAAAACTTGTATATAATGTTTATGGCAATTTTATTCGGTACAGGCCCAAAATGTAAACTACTGTTTACCTCTACTTCAACAAGTGAATGGTTAAAAATATTGTGGTAAATTCATACATAAGGATGTAAATTGCCATGGACTCTCATCTTCTTCAAAAGATTCACGTTGAAGCTCTACTCCTTAATGTGACTGTATTTGGAGACACAGCCTTTAAGGAAGTAATAAGCTTTAAGTGTGTCATAAGGGCAGGTTCATACTACTGAGTAAAAAAGACTATTCATGCATGCACCAATTTGAATGAATTTCCAGAGAACTGTGCTGAAAATAACAGGTTAATTGCAAAAGATGACATGCTACAAAAATACATTATACAACTTCTTGAAATTATAACACAGTGAGAATAGAGTGGCAGCCTGTGACTAAGAAAGAGATCGTGTGGGAGGGAAGCGTGTGTACTTATGAGAAGAGGCACCACGAGGAAACCTTGTAATGATGGAATTGTTCTGCTTTTGCCATATCAATGTCTACATTCTGGCTATCAAATTGCAAGATGCAGTCAGTGGGAAAACTAAGTAAAGGGTTTTTCTCTATTATTTCTTGAAACTTCGTCTGCATCTACAATGAACACAAAAATGTTGAAATTTAATTTAAACATTCAAAAATGTAAACAAATAATTTTCCTCCACTCAATATTTATGATTTTTTTTAAAAGTACAGACATGCAAAAATAAATCACCTAATTCTGAAACCCAAAACATCTTTTGGTAATTTGGGGATTTATTTTTTTGTTTTAAAAATTATTTTAACATACAAACAGGTGATTTTATTTTCTCCCACAGAATTTGGTTTATAACTGCTATGGATTAAACCATATCATCCCAAAAGTCATAGTTTGAAGATAGGAACTTTAGGAAAGTTTTGAAGGTTAAATGAAGCCAAAGGGTTGGTTACTTATCTGAAAGAATTTGTGGCTTCATACGAAGAGGAAAATGATTCATTCATTTGATTCTCAGTGTCAGCGTCAGTGTCTGTGCCTGTGTGTGTGTCTGTGTCAGGTTCTGTCTCTGTCTCTGTTGATCTCTCTGTCTCTTTCTCCTCTACCATTAATCCCCCATGAGTGATCCCCAGTCAAAGCTTATGTGATGGCAGAGTGGAAAGATGTTACTGTAAATCAGAAAGAGAGCCGAAACCTGATGATGGGTCACTCTCATCTCAGACTTCCAGCCTCAAACTGTGAGAAATTTCTACCCTTTAACCACTTGGTCTGTTGCATGTTGTTTTGATGTCCTGAGTACACTAAGCCAATAATATTGACTCTTTCATGTAATAAATACTTTCTATATCTCTAACCTGCATGTGCTTTATTTTTTCACTTATTACACACTAAAAGTTCCCAACAGCCTAAACATATTTTAATAAATAATTTAATTTATTCACAGAATTATACTGTCTTATTCTTTTTTATGTCATTTTTATTTAATCATTTAAACTTCTTAAAGTTTGGAAAGCTATTCAAAACTCATTGAAATTTGAATAGATGTTGATTTTCAAGGATACTTAAAATATACTGCAATCAATATTGGATATAATAATCCCAATACTAAATAGTTTCTTAAATTCAGAGAACTGAAAAAAAAAAAAAAACTCAGTCAAAAAGACACCTGAGTTTCTAGCATCTCTTCAGAATCTAAAAGTCAATGGGCTTTTTTTATATACTTGATTACAGTTTCTATTAAGTAAAAATTAAGTTTGTATTTCATTGGTTCATCTGTTAGAACTGAAGTCCACAGAGATCTACAAACAAACAGGTACTATTCTTCTTGTGTGTGGTTAATGTAGCTGTTGATAGGCCTAGCATCCAATGAGCTGAGTCATTCCAGAGAGAGTAGAAGGATGCTATTGGAAGACCTATTTCCACGTGGCCCTTTAAAACAGTTACCTATCTTAACGGTTCTCAGTGGAAGCCGTGCCATTCCTTCTATGAGTTCTGGAAAATATTCCCCGTGTTTTAACTTGATTGCTACAAAGTGGAATGGGAGCCATGGGTAGGTAATTTTGTGGTCAGCGAAGATGAAATGATGCCCTGTAATTCACCAGAAAGTTCTGTACAACCGATCGTCTCAGAATCAGACCAATTTTAACTTGCCTTACAAATATATTTATAATGATCTGCATCTAGAATTTAACTCACTTATAAATTTATATAAAAGGCTTTTACGGAGATTTATACATTTATTACTTAAGAAACACAGCTTCGATATAAAATAAGGAATGACTTTTGTTGCATTTTGTATACAACATTTGCACAAACTCATCTTGAACTATGAAAATCACACAGCTCAAGAATTTCACTTTCAGAAATTGAATATCCAGTACAATACACTTGATCTGTTTACTTTTTAATCTTTATTAAGTTTATGGTACAATTTAGGTATACAATAAAGTTACATTCATCATTGGGATCTTGTACCTTTACAAAACTTATCTTGGCTCATATTTTTCCCCATTCCCCAGCCCTCCCTTCTCCCCCTCCATCCTTCCCTGTTTACAAAGAAACTGTTTCCATGTTTTTCCTTTTCACATTTTTTCTTTGCACTTTTTACCTTTCCCCTGTTCCTCCCACTATCGCTACTCTTTTAGACCTTTTCTTCCTATTACACAATATCAATTATTCATTTTGATCCTTATTTACACTTCTGGTTTTTCACAGCAGAGAAACGATTCAGTATTTACACACGTGTATCTTATTAATATCACTTAAGTGTATGACCTCAATGTGCATTCACTTAACTATTAATGTCTCTAGTTTTTTGTTCTTTAAGGCTGAGTAGAACTCCATTTTACAAACAACAACAACAATAATAAAACACCTCTTCTTTATCCAGACTCCAACTGATGGGCAAATGGGCTGTTTCCAAGTTTTAGCTATTATGAAATGTGCCACTATAAATATGGGTGTACATATATCACTGTAGTATGATTCTTTTAGTTCTTTTGGAAAGATACCCAGCAGAGGGATGGATGGGTCACATGGAACGTCTAGTTCCAGCTCTTTGAGGTATCTCCATATTGACTTCCACAGTGGTTACACCAGTCTGCACTCCCACCAACAATGGAGAAGGGTTCCTTTCTCCCCACAATGGCACCAGCATTTGTTATTGGTTGATTTCTTGATAGCAATCATTCTTTGTGGGGTGAAGTAGAATCTCAATGCTGTTTTCATCTGCATCTCTCAAATGACCAGTATTATTGAACATTTCTTCATATGTTTATTTGCTGCTTTTACTTTTTTTTTTCTGAGAGGTATCTGTTCATTTCAGATGTTCATTTTTGAATCGGGTCTTTATTTTTGGGGGGGTTCCGATATTTTTAAGTTCTTAATGTATTTTAGATAGTAGACCTTTGTCTGAGGAACAGCTGATTATAAGTTATATGTATTCACTTATCATTGCCATGTTATTTTCCTGTTGCTGTTTCTTTATTTTTCTCCCTCTCCCTTTAAATTCTCGTCCATTAGATTTGCTGTGTTGGGTCTCATGAAGTTGTGACCTTCATTGTGTTTTTTTAGGATATTTTTTAAAGTTGTTTGGAGTGCTGGTTTGGTATTCATGTAGTTTCTCACATATTCTTTGTCATGAATGTACCTTATTTCTCCATCAGTTTTGAAAGATAGTTTTGCAACTATCTACATCAGCCTAGGTTGGAGTTTGTTTTCTTTTAAAGCTTGAAATCTGTTTTATAGCTGTCACATTAATGATGATTGCATGCATACATTAAAATAGCTGGCCACTCTGTTAAGTTACATTACCTATTTTAGCATATTTATATATTGTAATATGTCCTATTATAAATGACAATATATCTTCATATTACAGTTTAGTATTAAATCAAGTTTGGAGAGAATATAAAGTTGTATATAAAAGTTTTAATTTTATAGTTAAGTATGGAAGTGTTTTAAAACTCTTCATAATTTTATAAAAGACACTGGTATTTTAGAAGCATAGTTGGCATTATACATTAGACATAGGAAGATAAAAATTAATGTAATTTTTTAGGCCGCAGCTTTCTAAACTGTGAAACAACACTAAATCATTCCAGTTAAGCTTACAAATTATTTCAGTTCATTGAAATTTAAGGACTGTCCATAATAATTTTGATTTTATATTAAAATTTTTAAATCCAAATATTTTAATTTTTAAAAAATTAAGACCAGTCTGCCATATTTCATTGTGTGATAGAGAATAGCTTTTATGTTGCTACTCAAACTGAGGTTGTCAGAAAGTTCACTTTTTGTACACAAAAATCTGTTTCATAAGTTTCAAACTTCAGGTCCACAAAAGATTCATACTATCTTTAAAATTATCTTATCAAGATCCCAATGATGAATGTAACTGTACTGTATATCTTAAATGTATCAATAAACTCAATGAGAAAAATATCAAGATTATTTTGGTTTTAATATGTTCCAGACTGTTTCAATGCTTACAGTGAATTTGATTTGATAAAACATTTGACCTCCAAAAAATAAAAATAAAATTATAGTATCAAAAAATAGAAGACTGCATGGAGATATATAGATCAATAAGATTAAAGACAATAAGTAGATAGATAGATTAAAAAGTAATTGATTTTTACCTTTATAGAAAATATAGTTGATTTTATAAATAGAGAATGAATATTAGGAGATATTAACATGCAACATTATATATTACTAAAATAATACTTTTGTTGCAGGATTTCAACAGATTTCAAAAGATTTTCTGTCATCATAATGTGTTTATCTAAAATGCCTGGTTTCATCTACATTTTTCTCATTCTAAAGATGTTTTAGGATTTAGCCTTTCTGCCTGAGCATAATCTCTAAGAACAACTTTGGACAAACTTTCTAAAATAATGTCAGATGTTAGAAACATCAGTAATTTCAATTTCTAGGAACACAAATGTGTGTTTGGGAGGATTTGTCACTCAGGTGCAGACACCTTCCAAGAAACGATTAACACTTGCTGGGTAACTGCAGGGAGAAAGGCTATAATCATGCTGTCTTAGCCCCTGTTGAGATTAGTTATTGTTTCAGCTACTGTAATAACAAAAATGACTCATACAGAACTGAAATAGAAATGAAACAGAATGAAATCATCGTGAGGTTTTTGCCCTTATTTTTTACCCCCATTAAGTTTATTGGAACATTTAAAGCAAACGATACAGTACATTTACCTGACATATTTTGGTTCTTATTTTTCCCCATACCCCTGCCCTTCCTTCACCGCCTTCATAAATGCATTGCCCACAAATATTCAGTTGTATGTCACTAAATAATGTGCTCCACAATGACAAATTACCACGAGTTAATGAGTGCAATTCAAAATGTAAAAATTAAATTCATTGTGTGGATTTTACAAACTTATTTGAAAGCAACAACTATGTGCATGCATGTGTATGTGTGTGTGAGTGTGTGTGTGTGTGTGTGTGTATGTGTGCATATGGTTTCTCTTTCTCAAGGAGAACAAAATAGCAATAGTATTTTGTTATAGCAGCCTGAATTAACTCAAACAAATGAACAGGATTTCCAGTGAATTAATCTATTATTGAAGGAAAGAGTGAGGATTTAAATTCAAAAAATTAATTCTGTTTTGAATTTAATATTTAGACTCAAATATTGATGGTTATAACAGAAATGATAATATTTATATCAATGTATTTGAATTAATATATATTTTATCTCCTCAACTAGATTTAAGAGCATGGAAAACTTTCAGTTCTTTGAATTCACAATGTTTCCTAGAAGCTTTCACAAAGGTAAGGAAAACTGCTTTTCTTTGGTACCAGGAACCAAAGTCAGGACCCTCCCTTTGTAAGGCAGGCTTGGTGCTACTGAGCTAAATCCCCAGTTCTGCATTTATGTTTATATTACAACTCATTATCGTTATCTGCAGAATATGATGCATCAAAATGAACGAGAGCACGATATACTGGGTAGAGAAGCAAGTGGTGCAAAGCATCTCTGCACAGCAGGAAAAGGAGACAATTGCCAAGTGTATTGCAGATCTACAGCTGCTTGCAAAGAAGGCTGAAGCACAACCAATTATGTAAATGCATCTCTCCCAACTGAGACAGCCAGACACAGTTGACTTAAGTGGAAACTAGTCTGTGTGACAAAAATTTCTTCCCATACTGCTGTCTACTGAAATTACTTTACTTTTCCTTTAAAAAAGAAAAGCTTGGGGTCTTGTTTAGTGAGAACTATATCTATTGGCCAGTCAGATGTTTCTCATCATTACTCTGCATCTTGAATTGTTCTGTGATCACTTTTGAATAAGCAATTTGTTTTTATTAAAACTTACTATCTGACTAAATATTACCAAGTTGTAGGTCAAATTTATAATTAGTTCTATGATCTTGCGATAAAGGACACTTGAAACAAGATTTTTCAAGTTCCGTTTTTCTCTGAAATAACATTTCAACATTGGTCATGACTAAAAATAAAAAATGTCATGTCACTGAAAAAAAGAAGTTATTAGACGATTTATGTTTTTATGAGTGGGCCGTTTGAAGGGGGCAGTGAATCACTTAAACTTGGATGATGTTTTCTATCTTGCTTTCAAGAAGGCGCTTAAAATGTGTGTCAGTGTAATGTGATATGTGCTGGCATGCTGTGGACCTACTTTTCAATGAAGCGAATCTTCTTATTTTTTAAAGTAAATCAGAAGAACTTCAAATTTATGAAACATAGTTTTATCCTCATTAAAAAAAATCTAGTGTAAAAAAGAAACTATGAGTTACTTATGAAAGAAATGAGAGGCACAAGGAAAGAATGCATTATTTTTAGTTATAAGGCATATAGAAACAGCTGTGTACTCATTTTGGCCCACTTTTGAAAGTGAAAATGATTTTAAGTAGGATATGTGATTTTAAGAACAGATTTTAGGGGCCAGGGATTTAGCTCAGTGGTTCTGCCACCTGCCTCACAAGCACAAGGACCCAAGTTTGATCCCTGGAACTCTCCCCCAAAAAAGAACAGATTTTAGAGTGAGTCCACCAGGGATACAACTTGTTTTCTGTTATAAATGTATTGTGTGTTCCTTGGTACTAGGTCTCTTCACACCTCATTATTTGTGTCAGTGAAGTGGGGACAGTCATTATAATGACCGACATGTGTGAAGACTATGACACCAAAATAAAATATGGAATTTTTAGCCTGTTATCCCCAGCACCATTAGGATTAACTAGTATAATGATTAATACAATGATATAATACTTAAATATCTGAAAATTCATTAAGGTAATGTTTAAAAGGGAATACTACTCAGCCACAAATAATGAGAAAATAGATTCATTCATAGGAAAATGGATACATATTGAGGATATACTCTTAAGTGAGGGTATATTAGGCAGAACTCTTGAAGACATTGGCATAGGAAAAGACTTTATGAACACATACTAAGCAGCACAGGAACTAGCAGAAAGAATCAACAACTGGGATCTCATCTTATTAAAAAGCTTCTGCACTGAAAAATAAACCATCAACAGAACTAAGAGACACCCTACAATATGGGAAACAATTTTTACCAGCTGCTCCTCAGACAGAGGACTATTATCTAGAACATATAAAGAACTCAAAACAATCATCCCCCCCAAAAATATAAAGACCCAATTCAAAAATGGGCATCTGAAATGAACAGACATTTCTCTGACAAAGAAGTAAAAGCATCAAGTAAGTATATGAAAAATGTTCCACATCACTGGTCATTTGAGAGATGCAAATGAAAACCATACAGAGATTCTACCTCACCCCACAAAGAATGGTACTATCAAAAGAAATCAACCAATAACAAATGTTGGCAGGGTTGTGGGGAGAAACGAACCCTTCTCCATTGTTGATGGGCATGCAGACTGGTGCAACCACTGTGGAAATCAGTACGAGGATACCTCAAAGAACTAGGATTAGAGGTTCCATTTGACCCAGTCATCCCTCTGCAGGATATCTTTTCAAAATAATTAAAAGAATCATAACACAGTGATATATGCACACTCATTTTACAGTGGCACTGTTTGTAATAGCTAAAACTTGGAAACAGCCCAACTGCCCATCAGTTGGAGACTGGATAAAGAAGATGTGATTTTTCTTTAAAATGGAATACTACTCAGCCATACAGAATGAGATATTAGAGTCATTTATAGGAAAATGGATGCATATTGAGGTTATGTTCCTAAGTGAATTAAATAAATCATACATGTGTAAATACTGAATAGTTTCTCTGGTGTGAAAAACTATAGTCATAAATAAGATCCTAATGGTATAATTGACATAGGAAGAAAAGGGCTAAAGTTATAAGGGAAGTGGGAAGGGTAGGGAAAAAGAAATAAGCGAAAAGAAAAAAATATGAGAAAAATTTAAAAATGGAAACAAAATTTTTATAAATAGGGAAGTGGGGGTGAAAGGAGGTCAGGTATAAGGGAAAAACTGAGAATGAAGACCTGTCATGTAAATGTACAAGATACCAATGAGGACTGTAACTGTACTGTATACCTAAAAAGTATCAATAAACTCAATGAGAAAGAAAAGAAAGGAAGGAAGAAAAAAAAGAAAGAAAGAAAGGAAGGAAAAGCAGAAAGAAAATTGGCAGAAGACATGAAAACATACTTGCCAATAAAGGACACATGTATATGACAAAGAAGTATATAAAAACATTTTCAGGATCACTGATTATCAGGGACGTGCAAATCAAAACATTACTGAGATACCATCTCACTTCAATTCAATAGCTGTCATCTAAAGGGCAAACATAGCAAATATGACATGTTAACAAATAGGCACTAGTTTTTACTCTTTTGGGGAATATAAATAAGTACAAGCCACAATGGTAAACAATATGAAGTTTTCCAAAATAAATAAAAATTGAACTACAACTTTATCTGAGTCTCCCTTCTACGTATTTATCCAAAGCATAGGAAGTCATTACGTCAAAGAAAAATCTGCCGTCCCAGGTTTACTGCAGTATAATGTTCGCAAACAAGATGAGGAATTAGTTTTAGCTTTCAACAATAAATGAATAGATAACATGTGGCACACACATAACAACGCAATTCTATGTAGTCATAAAATCGCATTTGTAGCAACATAGTTATACTCGGAGGACATTATAATAGGAGAAACAAACCAGACATAGAAAGACAACAAATACTGTTCTATTTCACGCAGTTTTGAACTCTAAAAAAGCTGGTTTCAATTAAGTATAAAGATGAAAGATGAAGAGATGAGAGGGAGAGAGAATGTGGAGGGTTGGTCATGAGTACAAAATTGCGTTTTGAGAGAAGGATAAAGGCAGGGTACAGTAGGATACCTTTACCAATGTATTATTATATACTGAAAGATAACTGGAAGAGTTCTGTGTGTATATACCACAAAGAAACAACAAATGTTTTAGGCGATACATCTATAAATACTCTCCCTTGATCCTTACATATGTTTATACTTCTATAGGAGACATCACACCTGTGGCCTATAAATATTATCAATTATTTTATGTTACTTAAGAACAGTAGTGAATTCTTATTGCTGGACAACTGGGAAAATGGGGGTGGGGTGGAAAAATAGATTAAAAAATAAGTTGACGTCAGTGAATGATTTTCATGAAGAGATATAAAAGCACTTTGTATATTGAGATAGAAAATAGCACCACATTAATGATTTTTATAAATACAGTAATTTCATTTAGGTTTTTGACACTACACTCAGTAGGTTCATTTAGATTTTCTATACTATAACCATAGGTACATATTTTTTGTATTATGTCCTAATAAAAATTCTGAAAGTTAGGTGAAGAAATGCATAACAGAAAACTAGTTTATAAAGGTTAAGTAATTAAGATCACATGACCATTAATTGGAAAAGAGAGGCAAAAAATGTAGGCAAATCATTTTTTTTTTATTAAGGTTACTGTCTTCAGCACAAATTGCATCTCATTAAATCTAAGCTCATTATTTCAATGTTGCCTAAATATTGAACTGTCCTGTGAGAATGCCACTCAAATTAGCCCCTCCACAATGAGGTTAATGTCTTGTACTTGAATGTAAATCAATGGACTGCTCTTTTCCTTTAGAAAGTCACACACACACACACACACACACACACGTTCAATTTAATTAAACATTTCACTTGACTACATAGATTAGGAGTGAGCAATCTAGGGCCTATGGCTGGGTCACCTGTTTTTTTACATGAAGCTTTGCTGACATGCTGACGTTCTTATTCTTTTACAGATTCTTTCTCTTCACCTTAGTACTCTAAGACATGACAGAGACATGACAGAGACCACAGGTCCATGAAATTTCCAATATGTACTATTTGATCCTTCAGGAAGATATTTGTCTCACATCTCAGACCTTCCTCAATGCAGCAGAAGACTGAGGAAACTGCATTTCCAGCAGGCACCAGGCTACATAGGGCATGGAAGGCTTTCTACAGTATGTAACAAACCAACAAACCTAGTCCAATTCTTCTGAACCCTGGGCCTTTTCAGTCTCCAAAGCTGCTGCTCCTCACAGGATAAAGGGAGAGATCCGGCATTGGTGCATTCCTCGGGCCTTCTATAACTCTAGTCAGGATTTTCCAGAGATAAGAGAAACTTTCTCTAATGTTTCATTTGCAACCCAGAGAGATAAGCAAGTAAAACAAGCCTGACTCTGAAAAGAATTCCATTTCCCTTTCTTCAGAGCTTTTGATTGCTTTGAGAACTCAAACACAGATAAACATTTCATTATTTTCTTATTTTTATCCTCTCGCAAGTAACCAGTTTCATTTCATATAAAAAAAAAAACAGTGGAGCATGTGCAAATCACTCAAACAATTCCAGTTCAATTAAGAGCAGGAGAAAATGAATCATTGTCTGCCCAGAATAGAGTTTATATGCGAGGTGTGGCGGTGCACACCTGTCCCAGCACTCAGAAGGTTGAGGCGGGAGGGTTGCCAGGACTTGGAGACTAGCCTGAGCTACACAGTGAGACAGATCTCAAAGCAAAACAAAACAAAATAAAAACGTTTATGAAAGATAATATCCTTCTATAACAGGAAATGGACTTGAATGTTTCCAAAATATTATC